TGCAAGAATTATTATATTAAATTTGCAGATAGTACCATGCTAGGAGAGTGAATTCTGAAGAGGACAGTTGTAGACTGTCCAAGACCTCATCGTCGACAAAAACATCGACATCCTCTTCGACTGTGCCTTCGGTCAACCTGCCCTCCACCCTCCCCGATCCCGACCACCAGCTCAGATCCAAAACACTGATTGTCCAGCGCCTTAGGACATCCATTTGTGGAGTCCTGTAGCTCAGTGGTTAGAGCACTCGCTTTGCAAGCGAGAGACCTGAGTTCAATTCCAGGCAGGGCGAAACCTTGGGCAAGTTTCCTTACTCCACACAGAGCCTAATAATAATCCCTCCAAAACCAAAAACAATAATAAATTGGTCATTTTCAATCTACGACTGTTTGTGGGACATTGCTGTGCACAATTGGCTGCCGCGTTCGCCCACAAATATACAGTCAATTCACTTTACAGTGTGTTCTGTGAAGCGCTTTGGGACGTCCTCCCGACGTGAAAAGCGCTATATCAAATGCAAGGATTATTATTATTATTATTATTATTATCCACCCGACGTGAAAGACGCTATACAAATGTAATTTTGTTGTTGTTGTAGAGACATAGACAAGATTAAGAGTGGCTGCAATTATGGCAGATGGAGTTTAATAAGAATAAGGTTCTGGCAAATGTTCGAAATGGAAAAACACTAGGAAGGGTAAATGATAACAGAGACCTCATTTGAAGTATTATGTTGAGTTTTGGGCTCTCAATGTTAGGAGGGATGTACAGGTACTAGCCTTGGTGGGTATCCAGTGATACTTTACTGGATTAATTCCTGGGCTGAAGGGGTTTAGCTATAATGAGAGGCTGAGTAGACTGTGGTCTGCATTTTGTGTTTATATAGATATACTTTCCTCACCTGCAGCTTCATCTAGGTTTTCCAGGCAGTGTATGATCAATGCAATGGGATTCACGATGGTGCCTGCTGTTCCCAACTTCCCGCAGACCTATTTTACATCAGTTCCTCAGTTGAAAATATTTTTACTTAAAAAGTGAGCTCAAAACTAATGAGCACACAAAAAAAAACTTTTTTAAAAAAAGGACATGCTTAACAGCAGCACAATGATGTGAACCAAACTAAATTCAATTCTGATAAAATAAAAGATTATACAGTGAAATCGGATAACGTGCTACTGATCTGCTAGTCCATTATGTTAAGAGATTACACCACATGGCCAAACATTGATGGATTATGACATGCATTATCATAAAGCACATAATAATCCAATAATAATAATGGGAGAGGGTCAATGTGCTCCAGGGGAAAAAAAAACCTGAAACCTATTTTGCTCGAAGGCTGACACACAATAACAGTTCAATGATCTTGACGCCACTGACTTTAGAATTTACACTGAGGTCAAGGACAGTAATTATCAAAGTTAAGACTGCAGACAGCACTCCTGCCATGCATTTATCAAGTAGAAAGACCTTTGGCTTTGATTCTTATATTGAGGTCTGACATACTGGCTTTATTGCTGTAATTATATTTTTGTGTTTATTAAAAAAAATTTACAGTTTGTCATGTGGAGCTCGCTGTGTGGTTATAGCCTCTAGCACTTTTAAGTGTTTAGATTGTATGAATTTCTGGCATAGTGCAGGATTTAATCTCCCCCCAACTCAGAATTTACTGTTGCTTCCAAAAAGCAGTCTCCGGTGACAGAACACTTCATTTTTGTGCATGATGCAAAACGTATTAAGTTTCTATTTACGAAATAAATTGGCGTTGCTGGAATAATATATTTTCTTTTTTATTTTGTAACTGCAATCTAGTTAAAGCACTGCTTTCTCCATGTGAAATTCAGTGAGGTGACAATGGATTGACCCATGAGAAGCACAACATTGCAGAAGAAATAATTTTCCAGAGGTTTATTTTGTTTTGAATTCAGGAGATGGTACACCTTGTAAAACACACTCGAGGATTTTAAGGGTTTCACATATGTTAATATTGAGCTACTGGATTGAATGTGTACAATAATCAATGGCATAGATGGTGCACAAATAATTAATGGGTTACAGTGAGTTGGTCCTGTCACTGATGCTGAGTTTAACCTTCTGATTCTCTGTAGTCTGTGCTATTCATATTTTGAGTCTTTTTCTTCCCTCTCCTTTCTGAGTTGAGCTGAATAACATGGCATTCAGCTCAACTCAACTGTGCTGGGTCACTCGGTTTAGATATTTCTACTCTGATTATATTATGAAAGATAAAGGCCCCCAGGGGTTATGGGGATATGAGCGAGGCAGTGGGATTGAATAAACAGCTTGCTCTGTGAGCCAGTTCAGACTCGGGGGGGCCAAATGATCCTCTTCTGCACTGTGAATTTCTATGATTTTCTATGATGTTTCAAGTGCTTTAGGGACAATCCACCACGCTTTGGTCTGGAGCAATAGGGGCATATTTCTCGGTTTCCTAATTCTACTTTGTAAGTGGGCTCTAAGAGGGCTGTGAGACCTTCTTCTCCCTGAACAGTTCTCAGACCCCTTACCCTCTGTTGGCTGCCTCATCCGATAAGACAGCTCGGCATGTGACTCCTCAGACAATGATGAAATCATATTTGCACATCAACGAGCCAGCAGCAACTGCCATCAGCCTGCAGTCTGGACAAGGGCAGGGGGGAGAGAAACGTCCTTTTCTTTGACCTGAGCAGAGGCACCTCGGATGAATCCATTCTCACTATCAATAATTGTGGCGGAAGTTTTTTACATGGGGGGCGGGCGGGGGGGAGTAAACACACTTCAGCTCCCTCAACGTTTTCATTGGGGAAGTGCCCCCCGGTTCTACCTCCACAGGTTGGAGGTATTCTCCTTCAGACCAGATGCTCTCCAAAATCTGATAGCCTAACCCCTACCTGCTGCCTGGCTGACATAACTGACTACTTGGATAAAGTGACAAAGGACTCTACTCAGTGTCTACAGCAATGAGAAAATTAACACAGAAAATAAGGGTCCTCCAAATGTTGGTTTTAAAATGGATAATATTGCAAACATTTTCTGAACAAATATCTAAATGTAAAATCTTCTCTCTCGTACCAGCTCTGTATATTCTAGACGTCAGTAGGTATGTAAACATGACACCTCCTGCTCCCATGCTTAAGTGGAGGTGGGGGAGCTGTCATTGTAAATGAGTCGTTTTATAATGTACTTGTTATCTTTTTAAGATGGTTAATGATCAAGAGTGAGACACATTTTATAAACTCCTTTTTCAAAAAAGAACATTAAACAAATGAGCGGAGGTTAACAGGAGTTATTTTACTTTGTACGCAATCGCCATTATAATGCAGGTTCAACCTCATCCAAATACTCTTTATTTGCCTTTGCGGAAATACTGGGATTGTTGAGTTATGGACTAAATTCAGAGCATTTCTGTGAAAACTGGATCCGCGACTAAGAGTGTTTTATTTTTGATCCATATGCTTTAGTGAGAGCATTACTTTTGCCTGTTTTGCCAGATTAAAGCTAGAGTCACTGTGCATATAACCAGATGGGGAGATAAGCCCATCGTTCAAAACATACAAACAAGAGACTCCAATTCATCTTAACTGGATTTGAATGGACTAAGAAGTGCTAACACTTTGATAAATATAGACAAGTAAACGCTTATTGCTGATTGAGTGGAGGAAATAACGTTCACAGTAAAGAAAAACGTACAAAAAGAGGATAAGAGGATGCTCCAGGATAGAGCTTAAGTGCTTTGCTGCTAATGCAGGGAACATTCAGAATGAACTGTTGAAACTGGAGATGTGTGCAACCAGGAAATTTGTTGCATCATGAAAACGTCTGCAGGCAGTTAAGGACAAGAGATAGAGGGGAAAAGGTATCAGATGCTTTGCATATATTGAGCTACTAGTTGGATATAGCTAGTGGCGTGGATACTGGTATGGAATGACATAACTGCTCTGGTAAGACGCATGGAGATAACAGCAGAATAAGAATAGAAACAAGATGGGTAGAAATTAGCAATAAAGACAGATAGAGCGATGCATAGGGAGCAGTTGAGGCAAGTTGGAGCCAATAAGAAATCATGCTGTGATAGACCCAGTTGATACAATGCACTGCCCTTTCACTGCAGGAATGTTGGTTTAAACAAATCCCGAAAGTAATGTGACAAATGTACCTGTTCAAATGCAGGATCTGACATGAACTTAATCTGTGCAGCCTCAACCCATTTCACAATGGGTCCCACAGCACAAAGCTCAAGTCACTTTGGTTCTTTATTGACAATCTTACTCAGCGAGGCTACAAAGATAATTTTTTATTGATGGAATTATGTGGTGAGATTACACAATAAGAGAGTGTTAACTGAGTTTTGGGTTTGAAGCACAATGTTGGGGCAGAGGGACCTTTAATCTGACCTAGTTTGTGCTCCCACTGGCGTTGGGAATATATGGTGCTGATGCTGGGTAGTTGCAAAGGGGAAGAGTTCTGTTCCCCAACACATATGTCTCTCACTGTTACAATATAATTTACATTTATAAAGTGCCTTTCGCGGCAGGCGTACGTCGCAAAGTGCATAACCTAGATGTCTGCACAACCCGAGTCGAGGGTGGGGCGGTGGGGTGGGGGGGGGTAAAGGGGAGAGGTTAGTGCCAAAAGTCTGAAGTCTTAGCATCGCATTGACTTTAGTCGTCTATAAGGCAGAATGGTAGATTCTATAATCGTTTCTGCAATACTCTGGGATGTTCTGTTCTATCGCCTGTTCATCGCATTTCATTCATCACATGTTTCATCCACAAAATAAACAGTCAATTCACTTTACAGTATATTCTATGAAGCACTTTAAGATGTCTCAATGATGTGATAAGATGTTATATCAAATGCAAGGATTATTATTATTCTCACTCTTTACTGTCAGCTAAACATATTTCTTAATTGTAGCTCTCTCAACCCGTCTCAGACAAAAGCATTGTGTTTATTTGGGGAATACAACAAAAAAGTCTTATTTCTTCCCCCTTCCAAATCAGGCAAATCGAAGGAAAAGTGGTTGAAATCTCCAGACTTCAAGAAATTTTTACTGAGAAGGTGCTGCAACAGGTGAGTTTGAGTTTTATAATGTTATGTAAGTAGGTAAGCATTTCCATTTTTATTTTGCACAATGGAACTGAATCGATCAATTGGACCACCCCAGTGAGAATGAAACTGTTCCATTTATCATTCTGTTTTATGCTCATCAGAACAGATTTAACTGGGCCCCTTTTAACAGATATCCGCTTTATACCTTAGTGAAATCATGCTGGGTTTACACTATGGGCCGCCAGCCAAAGCACTCCTGCTGTCACAAGTCGAGCTGAAGAGGAAACATACAAAGCTGTGTGTATGCTTATGGCATACATAGCAAGTTCAAATACAAACCTGGAAAACACTAGGAGCTTTAAACACAAAGGCTGGGCTGGACAATGAGTGACCTTTAACTGTCAGCACCAGCTTTTAAACATAGCTTATTATACACAGGCAGCGCAATATAAAACCCAGCACCAGAGACGAACTCTGCCAAACTCTACATGTAAATAATAGCAGAATTTNACCTTTTAAAAAGAGTGCATTGTTCCATCACACATGTATTTCCAGGATGTGTGCAGGTGTCCCACAAGACTGGGGCACTAGAAATATTTAACTTTTCCATCAAAATGCATAACATGCTGAGGAATAAGGAATTGTGAGCAGTGCTGCCATCCAGGGATGTTAGTCTAATGCCCAGTACTGACGGAGTGTAAAGTAGGACCGATCTGCTTCTCTGGGATTGAGTGGCTTTTGATAGACTCTCATGACAATAAGCTGCTTCCCTTTGAAAACAATGGGAGCATGTGAGATGCACACAGATTGCCCCTCTGATCAATCTTATTGGAGCGGCTGAGGAAGGAAGATCTGAAATGGTTGGTCCCTGTGAGATTTAAAATAAATCTGTGCCATATGTCTTTATTTCATTCTAGGCAATGTAGTCGTATTGTCTTAGATGGTAATATCTGGAGAGCAGTTTGAATAGAAAGTACTCCCTTAGGCGTATCTTCCCTCTTAAATTTATTTTGATTTAAAATGCTGCTTCAGCCAACTTGACAATAAAATACTAATAGATCATTTTAGAGATGCTGGAATGGAATGATCTTTGAAAATGCTTACGTTTGATTTTTAAAGTCCTTGCAATTCATTAACTAAGTTTTGTTCTTGAGAATGCCCCTGATTTACATGATATTCCTGGTTTAATTTGAAAAAATGGCTGGTATAGACATTAATGTGTATTAAGTGATGGAAGCCAATTTGTATGTTCCACCCTGTTTAGGCACACATGTTTCTCCAGTGAGGTTGTATTTCATAGCAGATGGCTAGCCATTAATATGTTCTGTTTGTTACATGCCTGCAGCTTGATTTATTTTGTTTACTTGTAGCTGTGACATTACATAAATAATATCACTAACATGGGAACTGTGACTCATCTTGTCATTCATAAACATGCAAATTCTGATTTCTTTATTGGCAGGAAAAAGACATTGACAATATTCACCAATTGGTTGTGGGTACAACCGAGAATGTCAAAGAAGGGAATGAAGACATTAGAGAGGTAAGTGGGGGGTGGGATGGGAATATGGTAAGTGTTTGTGCAGAAGCATATTCAGCCTGTTCTGCTACTTTATTAGATCATGCCATATATTTTTATCCTATTTCCCTGACAATTTTTCAAACGCTTAAATATCTTGCATTCCAAGTATCCATCTCCCTTTTTAACATCCCAATCGATAGTGTATCTCTAGGTTCTGAGACGGTGTTTCACATTTTCCCAGTCCTCCGTATGAGGAAATGTTTCTGATTTCAGTTTTAACTGGTTTAGCTCTAATTCTGAGATAATGTCACCTTGTTTTGCATCCCTATAACAGAGGGAGGAGTTTCCCCTATCCAGCTTGTTAATTTCCAACATTATTTTAAAGCCTCCAAACAGATCACTACTTAACCCCCTTCAACTCTCTAGGGAATATAACCCATATTTACACAGCCACTGTTTACAACAGTCTATACCAATTAATGAAATTCAACTAGGTTGGATTTAACCCTGAAAAATCAGATCTATAGCTTTTTTTCTCTTTAATCAACGACAAATTACTTCTATCAGCACCCACTTTACTCACATCTGAATGGTACCAAGCAGTGCACCCAAACTTCTCAGTAGTGCCAGAGAGAAACCAGAATTTCTCTCTGGCAGTATTGAGAAAAGGCAGTGTCTACATTGCCTTTTCTCAATACTGTTGTGGTTCTGCACATGACCTTCTTGATGAGGAAAGAAAAGATACTTAGAATTTATTGACAAAACCTGTAAATTAAATGATTTATTAAAATGTACAGTACAGCCCTGCTATAACGCATTTCTTTCTGGTGTGAATTTGGTTCTAACGGTGTTGAACTGTGGGCCCCGCTCACTGCTCACCAGTATACAGGTCAGATAGTGGCCTCCCATCTCTGATTGGCTTTTAATAACTTTTGCACTAAAATAGCCCACTTTTTGGTCATTAGGTCACCTCTGACATCACTTCCTAATATGTGCAAAGCAGAAAGATGTTGGTGGGTGATCCAACCATTTTAACTTACTGCACTTAAAAAAGCGACTTCCAAGTTATCAGGTCCCTGCTGACGTTGTTTCCTGTTTTATGCACGTACAGCAACACGTTAATGGTGACATGATGTCCTGAAAGTTGCGTTTTTTTTAACACAGGGACCGGCTGACATGCAGGGAGCACAAATGCCCTTTGAACATGTGCATCAAACCAGTTTGTTGTATCTTACCATAGCACAGATTTGGATGTTATGGATCCCAAGCACTGCTTTGTAAATTAAAAGAAAATGGTCCTGAACTTATGTTTCTCAGACAGTTATGATAGTGACTAAAATATATTTATCTACTGGGGTAGGTTACAGTATCAGTTCTCACCTGAAATTCAACACAAGGTATCAATATTGTCAGAGATACCTAAAAATTCTATTTTAGTGTGTTGGCGATTTCCATTTCAGTGCCTTACCAGTTGTATCATGAAAAGAGGCTCAGATGGAAGAAGCCCTTCATCAGCCCATTTTACCTCATCCTCCAGAATACCCACCCTACCGTCCTCCCATTGAAATAGTGCACTTGTAATAACGCTGATGCTGACAGTTAATACCGTGTTCACACAGCATCAGACGAACACACCACTATGTTGCAAGGCCAGCAAAATAAGCCACATCTTTTATTGTTCCAATGCTTAAAACAACAGTTCTTAGAATTGTTCACATGTGATGGTAATAGCCGTTGAGTTGTCACTTATTCCACCTACAAAAGAACATAAGAAATGCTAAACGAAGAAAGACCAGTGTCCATCTAGTTTGCCTTCCTGTGAACATCTGTGACCAGGGTTCTCTCTGCCTCCTTGTCCTCCTCGACCTCTCTGCTGCTTAGACACTGTCGACCAATCTATTCTCCTACACCATCACTCCTCTCAGCTCAACCTTTGCAGACCTGGCCTTGCCTGATTCAAATCCTACCGCTCCCACCGTCTCCACTATTGGGACATCCTCCCAATGTGAAAGGCACTACACAAATGTAATTTTATTTTATTGTTGTTAAATGTTGACTGCATTTGTAGGTGAACCCAGCCACCAATTTGCACACAGCAACATCCCACAAACAGACAGGAGGTGAGAGATGAATTCATTGGGGGGATTGTTTGCCAAGACATCGGGAGAAACTCCCTTTTCTTGTTCAGTAGTGCCATTTAATCTTTAACGTCCACTTGAACAGGCAGACAGAACCTTGGTTTAACATTGCATCCTGTGACAATGCAGAACACAGGCAGGTCAGGGCGAAACCTTGGGCAAGTTTCCTTACTCCACACAGAGCCTAATAATAATCCCTCCAAAACCAAAAACAATAATAAATTGGTCATTTTCAATCCACGACTGTTTGTGGGACATTGCTGTGCGCAATTGGCTGCCGCGTTCGCCCACAAATATATAGTCAATTCACTTTACAGTGTGTTTTGTGAAGTGCTTTGGGATGTCCTCCAGACGTGAAAAGCGCAATGCAAGGATTATTATTATTATTATTATAACACCCCCAGCACTGCATTGGAGTGAGCCTAGACTATTACTGAAGCTTTTATTAATGGACTCATTCTGTGACAGTTCGTTCGACTCAATCTTCACTAATAGAATAATAAAACACAACAACAAAATTACATTAGTATAGCACCTTTTACATCGGGAGGATGTCCCAAGGCGCTGGACAATCAGTATTTTAAACCTGAGCTGGGGGGTCGGGATCGGGGAGGGTGGAGGGCAAGGAGGGAAGGAGGCTGAATGAAAGCACGGTGGAAGAGGAGGGTCTTCAGATGGGTCATGAAGGAGGCAAGGGAGGGGGCGAGGCGGAGGGACTGTGGGATGGAGTTTCAGAGGGTTGGGGCAGAGTGGCTGAAGGCTCGTCTGCCAATGGTGGGATTGGCGAGACGGGGGACATGAAACAGGCTAAAGCCCGCTGAGCGGAGGGAGCGGGCAGGTTGGTAGGTTGCTAGAAGGTCACAGAGGTAGGGGGGAGTGAGGCCATGGAGGGCTTTGAAGGTGTGGACCAGGATCTTGAACTATATCCTCTGTGCGATGGGAAACCAGTGGAGTCAGGCGAGGATGGGGATGATAGAGTCACGGAGCCTAGTGTGGATGCATGCTGCAGTGTTCTGGATGATCTGCAGCCTACGAAAGGAGGAGTTGGTGAGGCTGACAAGCAAGGGGTTTGCAAAGTCAAGCCTGAAAGTTATGAAAGCGTGTATGAGGGTTTCGGTGGCCTGCACTATGAGACAATGGCGGAGCCAGGCAATGTTGTGGAGGTGGGGGAAGGCAGAGTGGGTGATGGCACGGATGTGGGGTAGAAAGGATAGTTGAGGGTAATTGACCTCTATACGGCATAAGAACATAAGAAATGCTAGACAAAAAAAGATCAAGTTCTCTCTAGTTCGCCTTCCACCTTCCTAGAGGTCGCATACACAATGTCCCAAACTACCTATGTGCTATAACCTATAATGTTATTTCCTAAATGAAAACTATCTAATCTGTGTTTGAAAAGAGACATGGATCAACTTTGCCTCTGTCATTGTTAAAGATTTCTCAACTTTTATGCGCGTAATCCTATGTGTCTCGTTAAGACAAGAAACTGAGCACCAAATTAAACCCTCTTGCTTCTATCCACTATTAATTCCTTGATTAACCTTTCCTTCTGACCCGTGCGGGCAAATCAGCGCAGTGTTTGTTCCATTTTATGGGAACAATAACTTTGTCGAGCATCCTGTAGTCCTAATCTCTGGAGAAAATCATGAAGGTCAGCCAATCTAGCACTCTGTCCTTGAGGACGTTGAAACATATTATTTATGTTGGCAATCTGATGTCAGAACAGAGCCAGCATCTGCCGAAATCCAGCGTGAACTCACTGAACACCAGGCTCGAAGTCAGCCCTGGCATAAAGCAAATCCACCGCTGGGGTCTGTTTCACATCGTAATCAATTCAGATGCAGTTCAATGTGGCCCATCATTACCAAATATCTTTTCTGATAACTGTCTTATTTAGAATACACCACAAAGACAAAAGCCACCAGCCAGTCTTGTCTGTTTTTAAATGCACAGGAGCGACATCTTCCACTCACAGCTGTACAGTTTATGTAACCCTCTGTTGTGTGAAAAACAAGACAAAAATTCAATAGAACAAACTACGGTATTTTTAATTGATTTCTTTTGTTTTCTTTGACTCCTTACTCAGCTTTTTTTTCCTGGAGTATAATAACGAGATTTCGCTCATCAGACCCATTCTTTCCAAACAGCCATGCAGTTTGCTGGAGCGAGTCCACCAAACTGAATTAATCTCCTGACAGAAATCAAAATCACTGATAAAAGAAGTTAAACCTCACTGACCACACAGTGCAAGTAACGCTGCTGAACTCCATGCCATCAATCTGACATTAGACCCTGTACGCAGGAGAGTGCATATTGGCACAGGATATGTGTACACAATGAAGGTTTTTTTTTAGTAAACAGGGTAAAGGATCTGTTTCTGATTGATTACCATTAGCTGAAAGCCTAGTCTGTGTGAAGCTTAATAACAGCAGCGTGATCCAATTAACTTTGTATTGATTGCTGGTCGGTGTGCAGTTTGTAGGGTTCTCCAGAAAAGACGATGTACTGGAAAGAGTTGAGAGAAGAGCAATAGAATAATTCTAGGCCATGGGGCTCTAAGTGACAAGAATGTACTCACAGAGCTACCTTGTTTTTATCGGAAGGAAGTAGCGTGGATGTGTTTTCAGTTTCATAAATAATGTATTTAAGCTGGATAATGAGTGTGAATGCTGGTACAGTATAACCTTAAAGCATACAAACTTTTCACTGAACAAAAAAACTTGAGTAGCCGGTTCTTCAAAGGAACTGTGGAAGAACGGCTGTCAATTTAAGACTGAAATGAAATTTTTTCCAAAATTCTGAGCGATCTTAAATTTTAAAGGCAATGGGCTATGAAATGTCTCAAGCCTCTGGCTGAACAGTCCTTCACCTCCTGAGAAAGTTTTGAAATAATCGTTCAATCATGTTTCCTGCACAATTCCTTCCTGGGATTCTGTCCCACATAAATGTTGAACAGCAAAGGTTTGAACTATAACAAGATAGAGTCATTAGATACATTTCCACTATTTCTATTGAGAATATTTGAACAAATACTTGACATGTAAGCATCTTGGAAAAAAACAGCATGTGTGATAAATCAGACTGATTTGTGTTTTACTTCATTCGTCCAACAGGCAATCAAAAATAATGCTGGATTTCGAGTGTGGATCCTATTCTTCTTGGTTATGTGTTCATTTTCTCTGCTTTTCCTGGACTGGTATGACAGTTAAGAGATGGAGCTGGCCAAGGGCTTTTATTGTGTCATATTCAATATGACCTGACAGGACTTTCATTGATGTTCATAATCTACAACTAGAGCACAGAAGAAGACTGACTTACACGATAAATAAAACCTAAAATCATCACTTGAAACACATAGTGGCACAGTTCAACAATATTATGTATTACAGTAATATTTTTGTTTGTGAGCTTGTCTTCGTAAAAAAAAATCTTAAGCTGACTTGGTTTAAATAATGCATTATTTTAAATACGAAAACTGTGTTGTATACTTGTTCTTCTCAGTGAGTCACATCAGCTCCTGATACAAATCTTTGTGTCCTGATGCCCAATAATGTTCATAGTCCGAAGAGCCTTTTTTTAAAAAAAATGCACAGAAACAGAAAATGTACATTTGTAATGCACACAATTGTTGACTTCCACATGGCTGTTTTCAATGTTGTTACTCTTAGTCCAAGGAATACAAAGAGTTCAATGCAGTGCATCTTACTGCTTGAATCAGAGAAATCAACAGTAAATCAAAATGTTGTTTAATACGTAAGAAAACTGTTATTTGAAATTGCTAATAAAACCTGCCAAGCTGCTGATTGATCTGTCTCTTTGTTCTGAGCAGGAGTGGACTGAAAGTTCACTATAAAGGAGAAAGAGCCACTGTGTTTGGATGTCATAACAATATAATTACATTGACACCTATTATTACAATTTCCGAAAACAACAGCAAATGACACTTATATAGCGCCTTTCACATCAGGACATCACAAGGCTTTGGAAAGTCAAGGATTTGCACCCGAGCTGGTGGTTGGGATCAGGAGGGGTGGAGGGCAGGGATGGTGGGGGTAGGAGGGTGACCAATGGCGTGATTGAGGAGCAACTTGAGATGGATCTTCAAGGAGGCAAGGGAGCGAACAAGGTGAAGGGATGTGGGTTGGAGTTCCAAAGGATGGGAAGAGAGACTCTGAAGGCCCGACCCCCGATGATGGTGCGGGCCAGGAACATGGAGCAGGCCGGAGCCCAATGACCAGGAGGGAGCTGACAAGTCTGTATGAAGTTAGCAAGTCACAGAGGTAGGAAGAAGCAAGGCCATGTAGGGCTTTGAAGGCGAGGACAAGGATTTTAAATCTACCTCTGGGATGGGGGAGATAGTGGATGGTGGGGAACGAGGATGATGAGGACAGGTTCACAGTTTAGATGTAGCTGTGCCTGCTTTTAAACACATACACACAGCATAAAGATTCTTATTTTTCAACTTTATTTGTTTTGTATAGTGAATATCAGTTATAACTTCATTGCTTCATTTTACATCCAACACAAGTATAATTCTGCCCAGATGTATAAAACACATGGAGTTCTGTAAAAACAGGACTTAAATAACACTGTAGACACTATATGACAAGTATGGCACACATTTTACAAAGCATGATGTTTTGGCACTCATTTTAATTTGTCATGTGTCTGCATATCTCCCCCCTCCGTTTCACTTAATATTTTCCCTACAATATCCCACAGGATTCTGTAGAAACCAGTCTTGAATAGTCCACGCCTGGCAGTTTGTTTTGATTTTGGCATCTTTTCATTCTAAGGGCAAAACATATCACATCACTTCTATCAATGATAGAAGGTAGTTACCAGGTAGAGGTAAAATAACTTATTTTCTTTAAGAAAGTGTCTCTTTCCTCCTTGGGGGAGGACATGGCATGCCAAATAGATATTACTTCAATCTGAGCTGTATTGCAGACATTGTAAGATTGTACTAAGAAAAGTGTACTTTAAAAGCATGCCAATTATGGCACACGTGGAAATATTTCTAGTATTTGTTATGTGCACTGATATTGCAGCTGGAAAATGAATCATCTTTATATTTTTTGTCCAGAGACAGCTATGTGCTTCACACAGCAGCAGGAAGTTGGAATTTCTTTACATTTTTGACTATTTGAAATGATTTGTGTGCATACCATGCCTGTGCATTTGTACTTCCTTTTTTCCTACCCAGTCTAAATTAGGTCTCTTATATAAATGCAGCTATGTCTAGGTAAGTTGGGCCACTCTCTGCGTACAGAGATCAAATTCATTCAGATTCCGAATAGCCACTGCACAGCAATAACTTTCCGAATTGGAGAAGCAATTAGCATTAATGTACAGTTTTGAATCAACAACAACAAAATTACATTTGTATAGCGCCTTTCACGTCGGGAGGCCGTCCCAAGGCGCTGAACAGTCAGAGTTTCGGACCCGAGCTGTGGGTCGAGATTGGGGAGGGTGGAGGGTAGGTGGGGAAGGAGAGTGATAGAAAGCACGGTCGAAGAGGAGGGTCTTGAGATGGGTCTTGAAGGAGGCAAGGACGGAGGGACTGTGGGATGGAGTTCCAGAGGGTGGGGGCAGAGTGGCAGAAGGCCTGCCAATCATTCGCTTCTTTAACTTAAATTAACCTTGTGTTTTTTGTCAAATGGTGGGGTTGGGAGAAAGTAAATCTGAAAGAAGTTCCCACTGACCGCAGGTAATCTTGCTGCAATGTGATCTTACTGTAGAATGACAGGTTGCTTGGGAAAAGCAAACACAACATGACTTTATCATGGCTACTCTAATCCTAACCTTAATGTGGATACTGGGAACACTTGGCATTGACAAACTCTCCTGGTGATACGTGACATTGCAGTTAAGCCACAGTTCAAGTCCACTGGTGGAGTAGTCTTGTACTTTTAAGGTGATAATGGATAACTGATGTGACCTAGTTGCCAAGTTTGCCACTCAGTACGGTCTTTATGCCCATATCAAATAGTCATTTCACTTAAATGTAAAGTTCAAATCAGCACCACTGCATCAGGCAGAATGGAGCCTTTGATTTCTTAAGTAGAGTGGACTTTAAAATGGTTTATTTTATAAAATCTCTTACTGCCTTCATGCTCTAAGAAAAACGAGTTGCACATTGATTTGACACAATTAAAACCAGAGTAGCGTATTTCAATCTATTTGCTGATTGTTAGAAGCCATATATAAAGTACACAGAAACTAGTTATTCTACACAATTAACATACCATATGAGCAAAGTGTCCCTTGCTCACTGCCCAGGTTTTTTGGTGATGAAATTGCCCATTTTTTGTTGAAAACCAGCATTAGTGTGTTTAATTGCATTCTCAAATAACCCAGCCAGGAAATGTGGGTGTGTGGAGCAGGTGTGTGGGGGTGCTTTTGTTGTAAAGACTTTATTTTCACATCCACATCCTGAGATAATAAAAGTACAGCAATTCTAGTTGAAAGTACTAATAAAATGAAACAAGCATGCCACCTAGCAAAGGATTTCATTAAACACTTACAAATAACATGAGCAGAATGAAGAGGACTAAAAGGAAAACAAGATGTATCAAATTAACAGGTTCTCTCCCATTACTTACTATATCTCAGTGCCTCAAACATGAAGCAGCTAGACTTGGTTCCTGTGCTGGTTGCTGCTAGGAACCGAGTGGAGGATCACTGAACCTCACTCCGCTGCTTTGTCAGCAGTTTCGCTCTCCCGCTCCAACACCTTCTCTTCGGAGAGCGCAGCCAGCCAGGGTGACACTGAGCGGGTGATGGTCTGTTTGGCCAAGTTGTAGTGGTTAATGACAGTGTAAAATCTTCCCCGAGAAGCGGAATCCTGCTCAGAATAGTAGGTCTCCAATCCAGCTGGAATGCAGCGGTTATGCTGAAGAGAAACACACACAGTGAACAGAAGTGAAAGACCTCTCACCCATAAATAACAATAATAATCCTTGCATTTTAATATAGGTGCTTTATTCATGTTGCTGAAATGTCTCAAAGCACTTGACAGGATTTACTGGAGAGTGCAGTGACTATCTGCAGACGAACGGAATTACTAAGAATGAAACTGATAGCAAAAGATCCTAATGAATTGCCTTTGTACATCACATCACATTATCATGTTGCAAATACATGTTGATAATCCTATTATAAGACACACTCTTAAAAGGCTGATTTGGTTATACGTTGTGTTCTGTTGGCTTCAGCTTGTGGCACAGTGAAGGAAATGATATCAGTGGTGCGTACCTCCCCAGAAAGTGATGTCCCCAGCAAGCCAGCTTTTTATCTACACTTCATTATAACATGGGGTCTGAGATATTGGACCCAGGGGACCACATTATGAAGCGGTTGTTCTATGTAATACTAACTATATTAGTTAGTGTTGTCTCTGTGTCCAAATGTCGAAAGTCCAAAGGGGAATAAGTGCCTGTTTTGTAGAATTTGTAAAGTTATAGAATGTTGTTAGCTGGAGAGAAAAGTGCAGAGAATATTGTGGCAAGCTGAAAGAGGTGAGGATGGCCATAACGATTGCAGAACTAAAGCCGTGGGCTCAGGGCCCTCTGGTCAAAACCAGACAGTGTTGACAATAAGCATCATTTGTAATTATCATCATTTCGGTCACCTTTCTCGCAGGAGAAAGAAGATGGTTGCTCACTGCTGCTTGGTAAGTTTCTTAGACTGTGCTTGGTATTCTAAGACGACAACGGCTTTGTGTTAGAATTTGGGGAATTGGGATTCAACGAATTTGGATCCCAACTGGTAATCCTGAACCCGACCAGTGTACCTCAACTCTGTCCCCTCCACCCCATCCCCCCACCTCTCTGTTATAGAAAGGACTTCTTGTGTTTAGGAGTTTGTGAGCCACTGGGTGGGTGTGTGAGCTTCCTCCTGAATCTTAGTGCCTGCTGGCTTCCCCACCTCCCCAGGTGTCCTGCATGCTGTGATTGTTTTTCTTTTGTTGTGCCTTTTCTTTGACTTGCTCCCATAATGAAAAAGTGTCGTTTTTTTGAAAAACAAATCACTGTAGTCTTAGATGTGCAATGTACGTAGTTTTAAACTTTAAAAATAAATTCTCTTTTGGTGCAAGGAAAGAAATCAACAGTAAAAGCAGTGGTGAAACCATGTTTACATCTACTTGCCAGCTCCAATTTACACCCATACAATAACATGGAACAGGTCTCTCTAGCAGGTATTGTTGCAGGGGTGTTGCATTTGAAAACAACGTAAATGATATTCAGTGGTAGAAAATATAGCCAGTACATGTAGTGTTTGGCCAGGTTTTCACGTCTAAGTGATGCTGACTCCAGCTCACTTTGCTCCACTATAAGGCACTGTGTCTCATCAGTACCAGTCGTACAGCAAAGCTGTTCAATTTGAAAGTGTCGTAGTACAATTAGAATCCTGTTAAAACTAGAATCAGTTTCATTCTGTATTTGATTTTCTCCCTGCCTGCAGACCCTTCTGATTTTAATGTCATTTTTAAAAAAAATGTTTTTCCTGATCAATTTATCTGGTGAGCATCTGGACCAGGGAAACCTTGGAGATCTCACGTTCATTCCCTAATAAATAATAATCCTTACATCTGACATAGCACCTTTCACATCAGCAGGATATCTCAAATTACTTCACAGGATATGTTCTAAAGTGGAGTGATTTGTGTGTTTTGTAGATGAACGAGGCAGCCAATTTGTGGACAGCTATGAAACGAATGACCAATTTTATTTGGGGGTTTGTTAGCCAGAACATTGGGAGAAACTCCCTTCTCTTTTCGAATAGTGTCATGGGATCCTTAATGGCCACTTGGACATGCAAATGAGCCCTTGGTTTCACGTCTCATCTGAAGACCACATGTCCTAAAGTGTAGTGACTATTTTTGTCGATGAAATGCTAAGTTATCAGATCTCAGTTAGAGTTATGGTAAGTATGGGTGCTATCACTGGCTTCAAATCCATGCTCGCTTTCAGTTTCATTTGGTACCTTGGTATTCTGTACTTTACAAGTTTCCGAGATACCAGAGACTGGCAACTGTGAAACTGTACTCCAGTAAACAAATGCTTGATATTTGAGAAGAAAATGATTTGAGAAAACAAGCAGGGAAATAATTTGTTTATAAAAAAATACAAAGAAGCTTAATGATTGATGGTGAGATATGTGATAGATAATTTTGTGTTTTGCCCACAAAATATACAGTCAATTCACTTTACAGTATGTTCTGTTAAGCGCTTTGAGACATCTCACCAATGTGATAAAGCGCTATATCAAATGCAAGTATTATTATGTGAACGGCAGAGTTTAACCATGCCAATCATTCTTTCAGCTCATGGTCTGGCTGACAATGCAGTAATGGGAGGTGTGGGAGGGGTTGCATTGTTGGAGGTGCTGTCTTTCAGACGAGACATTAAAGCAAGGTCCTGTCTGCTTGTTCAGCTGGACGTTAAAGATCCCATGGCAGTCTTCGAAAAGAGAACTGTCTCACAATGACCTGGCCAATACTCCCCCAGATAAAATTGGTCATTCACTCCATGGCGGTTTTTTGAGACATTGCTGTGTGCAAATTGGCTGCTGCGTTCCTCTATAAATAATCATCAAACTTTACACAAATTATGAAATGCTATTAAGATGGTTCGATAACAGTGATAAGGAGCTGAATCAAATGTAAAGATTATTGTATTATATATGCTCTCCACTTTGCTTCGTAGCACAATAATCCCTGGCACGCCTTGCAGTTCATTAATGTCTAATTAACCTGCTTAAGGTTGCTGTCTTGACTGGTGGCTTGCATTGCTGTGGCAACCAGCATCGCTGTAACCCCAGAGAGCCCAGAGCCACAGCTGCTCTTCATTGAACCGAGTGGCCTTTTCCCCTCCCAGACATTTCTTATATTCATAAGACTTCTGATAAGACATAATAACTTCTTACATTCCATCCCGTTCAATGGTAATGTTTTCACAGTTCCCCACATTCATTTCATACAAGTCGGAATAAAATTCCTGTTAGCTGTGTGAGAGTGACTGACTAATCGCAGCACTCTAGTAACCGCTAATAATGAACAAGGCAGTGGGGTTTGCACATCCCCAGACCGCATCATCTGTGGAAGCCATGTATTCTGGTGGCCACCTACACGGAGAAATCCAACCTTATTAACAGATGTGGAATGTCATGCTGATATCCCACGCTCAATCTGCAATGAAACTCCAGTAAATGCCCACATATAACTCTGCGCTTGTGTATTGCAGGAGCAAACCTTTTTTTTAACAACATTGGCTCTGTGGTCCATGCATTTAAATTGAACATTTGCCTGCAAAGGGAGTCAGTTTAAAATCAGTTCATCCTGTGAGCCTGGTAGAAGATTCCCATTTCTGATACCACACTTGCAGGCTTTATTCAAACAATGTGGTACCCCACACTGCCGATTTCTGGCTCAGCGAGATACAGTGTAGAGAGGTGCAATGTAGTAGATGCTTCTGAACTGAATGCATATTTATAAAAATTGCAGCACAAAACTGAGAAGCTTTGCTTCCACAGCAAAAATGTCCAGTCAGTTTGACCCTACAGTCTGTCTGATGTGCCATTCTCTTCCTGCTCTCGTAGAATTGAAAGGATTATAGCTCTCGCTCACAACCAATTTGAGGCACCTTCCTATTGTCAAGTGAATTTAGAAAATTAAAGGGCATTTTATAAAAGTAAACTTGCTGATCGTGAAAACAAAGTGCTGACTTATGAAAACTCGCTCCTGACACTGTCACTGTGCTGTGTTCAGTGTGTTCTTAATAGCCCATCACATTAATAAAAATAGGTTTTTTTTCCTATTAAGTGCAATGAAGCAGCAAAAATACACACTGCAAGTATTCAGGACTGCAACCTACATTTCCTTTTGTAACATTTGATCTCTTCGAAGGTGAGAACAACTTGGGTTGCTGGTAAGTGCGGAGAGGTAACTGCACTATTGTTAGAGGTGCTGTCCTTCAGATGAGACATTAAACCCAGGTCCCGTCTGCCTGTTCAGGTGGATGTTAAAAATCCAATGGCACTATTCGAAAAGAGAAAGGAGTTTATCCCGGTGTCCTGGCCAACTAACTCCCAAATAAATTTGGCCGCTCACTTTGTGGTTGTTTTTGGGACATTGCTGTTTGCAAAATGGCTGCCACATTCTCCTACAAAACAGTCACTGTACATTACAGTAAATCGTGTGAAGTGCTTTGATGAAACATTTTGACGACATGATAAAGTGTTTGAATTTTTAAATATATGGAACTTGGTCCACTAACAAGAATGATGTCCTCCTTCCATTGATGTCCATCAGTGATTGGATCTGAATGGTGGCCGTCCTATCAAAGGTATCATTTTTCAACTTTACGTTGAATAATGACGTGCAGAGTTTACCACACCTTGATGACAGCTGTGGCTCAAGTGTGCGCTCTCTGATTCTCAAACATTCTCCGTCTCCCACATCTCTCTGTCTCACTCAGTCTCTCTCTCTCTCTCTCTCCCTTCCTATTTCTCTCACTGTGTTTTAATTCCAAAATGCTTCTCTTCAACCTGACAAAAGAGAGTCAATGAGTCCATGGTGAAAATTCTGCCACCTCAGTCCTTTACCAGCTATTTGTACTAAATGCCATTTGGCAAATGTGTAGAGAAACCTCATCTGCTACTACAGCTGACAACGGACCCTAGAAAAGGCCCTTTTGCATTGATCACCATGTCAAGCCACTCAGAGCTTACTGGAGACCAGTAACGTCGCCAATTTTGTAACCTTTCCACTAACTCCCTCACAGCTTGGGTTAATACTCAGTCTTTGATTGGAAATGTTCTCCCTTCGTGAAAAACATTATATAACTGCAAACTATTGCTGTTGATGATTTTCAGTTTGCAAATGTTGGATAGTGAGATTCGTAAACAACAAATTACAAATCCCAAAAGCCAACAAAGTCTGAGAAAAGGCTACAGAACAAAAAAAACGGCTCTTTGAAAGAGGTATGCAAATAGTCCCACTCCCCCGCCCTTTCCCTGTAGCCTTGCAAATGTTTTCGTTTTAAGTATATATCCATTTGCCTTTTGAATGTTGTTATTATTGAATCTGCTTCCACCCTCCTTTCAGGCAGTGTATTCCAGACCATAACAGCTCTGTATAAAAAAAATTCTCCTCAAGTGAAATAGACACACGCTCCACAAGAGACTCTCATCTTGTTGGTTCCTTGCACATGTGGGGCATCCTCTCTTAGACCTTAATAACTAAGGAAACACTGCAGGGATCTGCAGATCCACTTAAAAGATGTTCTTCAGAGTAAGAACTTCACACATCGCAAAAACCTGCTGAGGAGGAGAAGAAGAAATGCACAATTGTCACAAGGCTTTCAGTTTGCTGCCTCTGGCCAACAATGTCAAGTATACTGAATATATTACCATACACCTTCACAGATAACTCAATTTAAATGAATGCTCAGCACCAAACTGCCAGCAGGTATATCAGAGGCATGTGCAGAAGAGCTCTACTGTGGTTTGCAAGCAGCCTATGGATAGCCCTGGCAGAGCGACAATTCTTACCTTGAAGACAAATCCATCTGGGCAGCTGTGTTCATACTTGTAAGCTTTGTACACCACCAGGAACACGATGCAGGTGAGGAACGCCAGTGCAAAGAGAATGAGAACCGTCACCTGGAGAAACCATAAGAAAGAGACATTGTTTTTAAATCAGTTAGGCTTTCAAAATGTTGTCTTTTTTTTCCACCTTGAGGAATTCTGCCAGCTGTGATAAATTTCACAGCAAATGAGCTCTGTTCATATATCACAGAATCATCTAAATGGCTGCACGGAAGGAGAGCGTTCGATTCATTGAGCCTACTCTGGTGCCAGATCCACTACTGAAGTCATCAAGCGTAATCCTTGTATACTGTTTATAGATATGAAATACAGGTTTGTATTTTCACTATGGAATTCAGCTACTACGGGAAAGAGAATATTCCAAACATTTTCAGTAAAAACCAGAAAGTGCTGAAAAAATACAGCAAGCTGAATAAAAGTTTTACTGGAAACACTGCCCCTCTTTCTCACACTAATCTGCGGGTGCACACTCCCAGTATTTTCTACTTTATTTCAATGTTTCTATCGATCTCTACATTAGGAACAGAGGATTCTGCCACTCCCCTCATCTCACCTCGGTCCACAATAATAATAATAATCATTTGGTTTAATGCCTTTCACGTCACGACGACGTCCCAAGGCACTTCACAGGATTTACTATGAAGGGGAGTGGTTGTGTGTTTTGTAGAACATAGCAGCTGTGCTAAAAACAGTCATTAACAGTAGCACTCTCCTGAATCAGAAGGTTGTGGGTTCAAGCCTGGAATCGGACCTGGAATCGCATAGTGTAAGCCGGGGTGGTCCAACCTTTCTGCTGCCGGCTGTTGGTTGCTAAGTACACGGTTAGCAAGAGACGTACTTGCCTTCCTGACAGACTGCAGTAAAAGCCCTGCGCACTGCGTCCTCCCAACCACTGGCTCCTGCCACTGCCCTGGGAGGACGTTCACCAGGGAGGGAGGGAGTAGAAGATGGAATGATGGAAAATTGTCGCGGGCTGCATAAAATCACCCGCTGGGCTACTGGCATGAGCTGACACTTCAATGTGGTTCTGGGGATGAGCTATATTGTTGGAGGTGCTATCCTTCAAATGAGGCGTTAAGTCGAGGTCCTGTCAGCCTGTTCAGGTGGGCATTAAAGATCCCATGGCACCATTTGAAAAGAGAAGGGAGATTCTTCCGGTTTCCTGACCAACAATCCCCCAAATAAAATTGGTCATTTACTCCATGGCTGTTTGTGGGACACTGCTGTTCGCAACTGGCTGCCGAGTTTCACCCACAAAATACAGTCACTTCACTTTACATTATACCCTGTGACGTGCTTTAAGTTGTCTCGATGATGTGATAAGGTGCTATATCAAATGCAAGGGTTATTATTATTATTATGAAGTAAATGACCAATTTTATTTGAGGGATTGTTAGCCAGGATACTGGAAGAAACTCCCTTCTTTTTTCGAGTAGTCATCAGATCTTTAATGGCCATCTAAACCTCGGTTTAACAACGCATCTGAAGGATAGCACCTCAAACAATGCAGTGCACCCCCAGCACTGTAATGGAGTGTCAGCCTAGACAATGTGAGTTCCAGTCCTCATGAGAGGCTTGAACCGACAACCTTCTTACTGAGAGGTGAGAAAACTACCAACTGAGCCAGGCCAACACACATCGATACAAGAGAGAATGAAAAAAGAGCCTGTCGGCTTTCGAAGTAACCTGTTGTCGTGTCTTGTTGGAACTAAAGACTGATTTTAATTCTGTTCTGAAGTGGCAATCTAACAATTCCTTTCAGTGCTGTCACTTGCTTCTTTAAGTGTCTTGCTACCGATTCTCCAGAAGAAGAAAAATCACACTTCAACCAACTGGCTTGATACTGTGGCCCAGTTTCAGCCTGACACTCTTAATTCATCACCACAAGTTGCTTTACGTTAATACCAGCACCAGGGCTTGTAACTACCAGTATTTCACCCCACTGTTACACGCCTTACAATGCTCTATTTACACACAAAAGGAAAAAATCGACGAACTGTACTGTATGCAGGATATTTATTGCAGTTCAAGTGGGCAGAAGTACAGGAAGTTCACACGCCCACCACTGCACTTCACCAAAGCCTTAGTGACAAATTTTGCCTTTCTAACAGCTCCTGGGTAAATTCAGTGTTGGTGTTACAACAAAGTCTCTGTGCTGCATTCAATGTAATTCCAGCGCCACTTTTAAATAGTCATCAACATGGCTTTCATTTTATTCAAGTGTACAATGAATAAAACATGATAAATGTGGGAGTAAGTGTGAGGCGGAAATTTAATCTGAGTTCATGTGACATTCGCAGGTTACCGAGGTTTTGCTCCCGTGGTTAATGTCATCTGAACACTGATTAAATTGCAGTTATATTACTTGCTGCCAACAGTCCGCAATTCTCCACTGAGAGTGGATGTTTCCAGAGGTAACTTGCTACTTAATATTTTATCTTACCGATAAAAAAAACAATAATTTCTTTTATTTATCCAGTACCTTCGAAAGCCTGGTGATAAACCACTTACACAAACGACGCGCAACAATGGAGCCGATTAATTATAGCTTCCAGCTGAGAACCAGTCAGAAAATGGTTCTCTCACCTGCCTAACACTGCACTAAAACAGAAAAACAGATGCAATAAATGGTAAAGTGGCCTCTCAAAAGATTTAAAAATGGGTAACTATTTATTTATAGCAGAAGCAGGTTATTACCCGCATTTCATTCCTATTCGTGCCCTTCCAAGAGGACATGCAGAAGGAGAGATTTTGATTGTTTTGCACCACACATTTGGAATGTATAAACAGCTTTGAACTGGTACCCAGTCACACCAAGGGATGATCAAACAACTCAGTCTCCAAGTAGGAAATAAATCCTTCAGATCGTTTTTTGACCCTTACAGCCTCAATGGTTGAGCTCACATGTCCGAGTGCTGTCAAACTCACCGAGTCACCAGCAAATATACTCTTCCGCAGAGTCCCTTCTGTGTTTGATGTGGTATTTTTTCAATCACATCTAACATTGGTCTGGTTACATTGGTCTAGTTTTACAAGCTGAGATTTCGGGCTGGTTTTTGTTTGAAAATGAGATCCCATTGTTGACACCTGTCATCTCCAAAAGTCATTTATTTAAAATAAAAACTAAACACTGGAAAAAAAGATTGAGAGGTGACATGATTGCTGTCTTTAAGATTCTAAAGGGGGGTAAATTCAGAACAAATCTACACAAGTACTATTTCAGTGAGAGAATAGTGAACCTGTGGAACAGGCTCCCTAGGGAGAGGGTTGAAGCAGGAAGTGTTGATTCTTTCAAACAAAGATTAGATAATTTTCTTTTAGGAAACAACATTATGAGATATAGTACATAGGTAGTTTGGAACATGTGTGCATGCGATCGCCAAGAAGATGGAAGGCAAACTAAATGGAGCTTGGTCAATTTTCGTCCAGCATTTCTTGTGTTCTTATGCCATATAGAGGTCCATTATCCTCAACTATCCTTTCTACCCCACATCTACGTCATCACCCGCTTTGCCTTCCCCTACCTCCCCAACATCGCCCAGCGCTGCCATTGTCTCACACCACAGGAAACCTCATACATGCTTCCATAACTTTCAGGCTTGAATATGCTAACTCTCTACTTGTTAGCCTCACCAACTCCTTCCTCCTTAGGCTTCAAATCATCCAGAACTCTGCAGCCAATGTCATCTCCTGCACCAGGCTCCATGACCCTGTCATCCCCATCCTCGCCCGACTCCACTGGCTTCTCATCGCACAGAGATTACAGTTCACGATCCTGGTCCTCACCTTCAAAGCCATTCTGACCACACCCTCTGGAACTCCAACCCGCAGTCCCTCCGCCTCGCCCCCTCCTTTGCCTCTTTCAAGACCCATCTGAAGACCTTCCTCTTCGACCGTGCTTTCAATCACCCTCCTTCCCTCCCTGCCCTCCACCCTCCCCGATCCCGACCACCAGCTCAGGTCCGAAACACTGATTGTCCAACACCTTGGGACATCCTCCCGATGTGAAAGGTGCTATACAAATGTAATTTTGTTGTGTTTTATTATTCTATTAGTGAAGATTGAGTCGAAAGAATTGTCATAGAATGAGTCCATTAATAAAGGCTTCAGTAATAGTCTAGGCTCACTCCAATGCAGTGCTGGGGGTGTTCTGCATTGTCACAGGTGCGTCCTTTGGATGCGATGTTAAACCAAGGTTCTGTCTGCATGTTCAAGCAGACGTTAAAGATTAAATGCCACTACTGAACAAGAAAAGGGAGTTTCTCCCGATGTCTTGGCAAACAATCCTCCCAATTAATTGATCTCTCACCTCCTATCTGTTTGTGGGACATTGCTGTGTGCAAATTGGTGGCTGAGTTCACCTACAAATGCAGTCACCACATTTAACAACAAAACAAAATTATATTTGTGTCGTGCCTTTCACATCGGGAGGACGTCCCAATAGTGGAGACAGTGGGAGAGGTAAGATTCAAACCAGGCAAGGACAGGTCTGTGAAGATTGAGCTAAGAGGAGGAGCGGTGTAGGAGGTTGGAATGGTCAACAGTGTCAACAACAACAACTTGAATTTATATAGCGCCCTCCATGCCGGACGGTGTCTCAGAGTGCTTCACGGTAACGGATCCCGGGGCCGAGCCAGGGGGAGGGGGAAGAAGGTGACCAAAGTCACGGTTGAAAAGAAAAGTCTTCAGCCAAGACCTGAAAATAGGAAGAGAGGGAGCAAGGCAAAGGGAATGAGGAAGGCAGTTCCAGAAACTTGGGGCATAGTGGCTGAAGGCACAGCCGCTGAGGGTGGAGTGGAGGATTCGGGGGACAAGGAGGAGACCAGACCCAGTGGAGGGAGGGCAATGGGCACTGTTGCGAGGAGAGAGGAGGTCAGAGAGGTAGGGGGGGTGCAGAGAAGTGAAGGGATTTGAAGACAAGAGTGAGCATCTTGAAGTCGATCCTCTCTGGGACAGGCAGCCAGTGCAGTCTGGCAAGGACTGGGGTAATTGGGGACCACAGGTTGGTGCGGGTAAGAATGCAGGGGGCAGAGTTTCGGCGGCTTTTGGGGTGA